CCTTGACCCCAGCTCCCACACAGAGCCTGGCAGGAGGGGCACTAGTGCGGGGGAGACAAAAGAGTGAATAAAGGAACACATGACGGCCCCTCGCTGACTCCAGGGATGAGCCATGGGTGGGAGTGGGGGCAGGGAGAGCTCTGGGGAACCCCTCAAGCGGCTGGCCCTTTCCCAGGCTGGTTTTCCTTCCCTGAAGGCCGGGGCCAGAGTGTCTGCCCTCTCCTGCCTCTGTTGTGGGCCAGGCACCACCCTGGATGCCTCAAGTCATCATCTTATCTTCTCCCAAACCCTTCAAGGAAGACAGCCCATTTTACAGATGGGAAAGTAAGGCTTGGAGAAACCAACTGCCCATGACCTGCAGCTCAGAGGGGCAGAATCCAGAGCCCAGCCCCGGTCTCCAGAGCCCAGCCCTGGCTATGACACCCCCTGCCCGCCCCCCCAGCTTCCGGCCGCACAACTGGGCAGCCAGTGATGCCTCTCGAGTCAGGCGTCTCGCTCTCAGAACCAGCCGGGACCCTGCGGAGTCCACCAGCACCCTTTACAGGAAAACCCCGGACAAGGGCTCAGATGGAAAGGGACAGAAGCCCGAGCTCCCCTAACACAAATGCGGGTGCAGGCAGAAGCCATTTGCAGGCCATCAGGGTCCCCACCAGCTGCTGATCTGCTGAGTCGCCCCAAAGCTGTGCTCAGGTGGTCTCTGCTTCTGCCTGTGTCACTGCTTCCGGGAACCTCCGCAAAGGGCTGTGCCCCTACACACGTGTGTGTGCGCGCGCACACACACACACACACACACACACACATCAGTGGTGGGTACACACAGGAGAAGATGAACGGGAAAACAGAAGGCTGCTCCTTGCCCCTGGGAGACAGGATCACTCACTGGCCTGGTTTTACCCACCACAGCCCCTGGGCCTCTTGGGGGGCGGGTGGGATCATGTCTTTCAGGCACCTGCCTGTGGCCACCTCTCAGTGAAGACCCCAGGAAGAGGGGGGTGGGGGTGGGGATCACGTTTGTAAAGCTGCCCAAAGGCAAGTTTGTCTCAGCCTGCCCTGAACTTTTGGTCCTGTCTGCCTGCTGCCCAGCTGAGCCCCAGCTACTTTCTTACCCTTGCTCAGCATTCTCAGGGCCCCCTTCTGGTGTCCAGAAGCTTCCAGAAGAGAGAACCCAGGGCCGGTGAGAGATGGCTCCTCCTCTCCCCTAGAGTGCTCACCAGTTCGCCATGTGGTCAGAGCTATCCCTTTGCCCACATTCAGAGCAGCCTGGCTCCTGGCCCTTCCAGGGGGTCCCCGTCTTCTAGAACCCAGGAACTACCTGCTTCCACCATGAACTCACTGAACTCAACGGGACCTGGAAGCTGGGAGGGTCCAGGGCCCTACCCCTCTCGGGCAGCGAGGCTGAGTGGGTGCCCTGCAAAGGGAGAGGGGGCTCTCTTGGCAGCAGTCAAAAGCCCACTTTCCAGCTGGGCGCCACCACCCAAATGGCAGGCCTTCACTCGGGATACCACAGGGAGCTCCTCATCCCAGAGGCAGCAGGGGCACCCTGCAAATGGAAGAGCCAAGGGAACTGGGTGTGGGGAGGAAGAAGCCATCAATTACCCTATAGTCTCATTCCCTCCCATGGCGGGAGAGGGGCAGTGGGGACAGGAAGGTGGCTCAGGACCCTCTCTAGCCATCCTCCTGTCTCCAGCCAGACGTGCAGCTCTCCCAGAAGGGTATGTGGGGAGGGCAATGCCGGCTCCTTCAGCTCCATATCCACCTCCAGGAAAGGGATGTCCTCCCAGAGTAATCCCAGCCCTGGCTGAGCTTGTGTTCTCTCCCCTGGGGTGGCTGTGTGGTCTTCAAGGCCAAGGTATCAGCCAGACTCCACTTTGAGCTTCCGCGCCAACTCTGTCCTTGATCCTCCCCGGGTGGAATCTCCTGACATATCCCTGCAAGTGCCGAGCGTCAAAGAGCAAGGTTCCTGGAACTTCAGTCACACCCAGATGCCATTTGCACACTCCTGGGGGTCACTGCCAGGCCAGCCAGACCTCAAGAAGCGCAGCTCAGGCCGTGTTAAGTTCAACATCAGATACCCAGACGAAGGAGCTGAGACTGAGGTGACCAATCTCACAGATGGGTAAACTGAGTCAATGGTAGAGTCCAGAAATCTTTCCTCTTGCAACCAAGCCCTCGAGTGATAGGAGCTCTTAGCCTCCCGACACAGAGAGGAAAGTCCCCAGTCCTACAGCCACATGGCAGTGAGCAGGACTGGGGCCTCTCCTTCCAACTCCTGCACTGTCCCTATTTCCGGTCCCCTACTCTGACAGACTGCTCAGGACCATTCTAGAAATTTCTAGAAAAGAATGTTCCCTTCTTGGCACCACAGAACTCCTGCCTGCCTCTATTTGTTTTCTTTGGCTAGTGGTGATGGGGCAGGGGAACCTGAGATGATTCCATCCCTTGGACAGAGAGAGCAGCCGCAGAAGGCCCAGGAGCAAGGTCGTCACTGGTACCCGGACAGGATGTCCTGGCAAGACTGTCCCGAGGCAGGGCCTTCCCCCCCCCCCCCCCCCCCCCCAGGCTTCCCCAGGGGGTTAGGGCTGGCCCCAGGTTCCAACCCCGTGAGCCGGGGGGGGCGAGCAGAGCCCATGCCTCCCCCAAACGGCTGGTTCAGGAGGGCAAGGTGAGGCCAAGTCTATGGAAATCCACACCTGGGGGCGGCTGCAAGAGGACCCGCTCTCCCACCAGTGACAAGAGTCTGGGGAAGAGCTCTCAAAGGTCCCTGGGGAAACACCCCAGGGTAAGGAGGATCTTCAAACAAAAGCTTCATTCCAGGATGGAAGGAAGGAGGGGGAGGGTCTCCTGTGGACATGCAGCCCAGGGACCCTGAGAGGTGTCCAGGCCTAAACATGGACCAGGCTTGTAAGCTGGAAAATGCCGCAAGATTGAGCTGGCCGGCAACACAGCCCCATGTGGATGGAAGCTCGCGAAGAGATCCGAGTGGTGAAGGGTGATGGCGAGCCAACGGCACGAGAAAGCAGAGCCAGCAGAGGGAGGCGAGATCCATCCAGCACAAAGTGGAGGAGACCTGAGTGGCAGAAGCGTGGCCGAGTCACGGCTCATGTGTCCAGTGGCGTGGCGATCTACCACGGCCAGCTGAGAGATGAAGACCATCCACACTCTGCACCCCTGAGAACGTCCGCACATTCGGGTCCTCACTACAACCTTCGCCTCAAGAGTTTCTACTCCTTGCCACCGAGCTTAGCAAATACAGACCAGCTTCTCAGCGTGTTTGGGACCGTGGGCCTGTTCAGTGTCTCCAGGAAGGAACAAACACCAGGGGATGAGGTTCTGCAGGCCCAGGAGCTACCCACGGTCAGCCGGCATGGACTGGGGGGTGGGGGGTGGGGGCTGCAGACCATAGAGTCCAAATCCTTAGAGATGCAGAAAAAGCAGAGACTCAAGTTAGGCAGAACTGGGGGCAAACGTGGACTCAGCCTCTGAAGCGCTTGTTGCCCAGGAATAACAACACCTTTCCCCGGGGCTGTAGCAAGGCCAGTGCCCTTGCAAGACCCGCGCACAAGCAGCCCCCAGAGGCATAGACCCACCTTAGCCACTAGGGGGCACCATGACGCTCTTGCCTCTGGGGATTTGTCCTGACACGCGGGGGTGGGTGGGCTCCACCAGGCCACCTAGCGGTTCTCCGGCCCCATCCTCCGGCCAGGAGGTACATGGGGGTGAGACAAAGACAGGGTGCCCCCAGGAGCCCAAAACCTTGCTCAGCCCAAAACTCTGGATGCTACTTACCAGCTCTCACAGGCCGCAATTTGAGCCCAAACCCGAGCCCAGAGCCAGGACGGATGTCCCAACAGTACCCACCCCGAAAAAACTGCACAGGACCGTTGGATTTGGAAAGTTTTTGTTTTCTTTTCCCACACATTTCCGGGGTTGGGGTGTTTTCCAAGACTCAGACACATTTGTTAACAAAGAGAGAAAAAAAACTGGGGGAGCAGGGAGCCCGTGGGCAGAGAAGTGACCCCAGCAGTCAGCGGGCAACGCCCGGCTCTCTTCCCTGGTGCCCGCGCCCAACGGGTGCCACAGGCTGCTGCTCGGGTATCTAGATAATTTGTCTTTAATATATATCTGCATTTGCCTTTCCCCTCCCACCCGCCCCCCCACCCCTGCTCCTCCAGCAGCTTCCCCATCAATGCACGTCGCCCGGCGGCACACAATAGAACAGGACTTTCCCCGGCCCCAGCCCCTTCCCTGGGCGGCTCCAGGCCAGCGCCTCCTCCTGGTGGGCAGAGTCGGGGCGCTTGGGGTGGGCACCCCACTGCCCTGCCCCGCCCCCGCCCCCCCCCACGCTGGGCCGCTCGGCCCACCCGCCCGCCGTTCTCCCACCGACTCTGCAAACCCAAAGGTAGGAAAGGGAGACACAAAAAAGAAATGGAGAGGGAGGGTGGGGACAGAGAGACACAGCAAGCCTGGGATGGGGGCCGGAGGGCTTGGGAAGAGAAGGAAGGCAGGAGGGACGGAGGGAAGAAGAAAAATGGAGGAAATGAACAGGACGAGTAGTGGACACTTTACAAAACCCCCAGCCTTCCTTCCCGCCCAACCCCACCAAAATAAAACTACCCCCCCTTAAAAAAATAAATCAACCCAGGGCTGTGAGCACGTGCCCTGCCCAGGGCGGGCGCAGAGCTGAGAGGGACGGAGAGCCCCGGATGGCGCCGCCCCACTGGACGGCAGGAGGAAGGGGACGAGCGCGGGGTTTCCTTTGCTATTTTTTTTCTTTCTTTCTTTTCATTTTTTTTCTTTCCTTCGTTCTTTTTTCCCTTTTCTTTTCTTTCTTTCTTTCTTTTCTTTTTTCTTTTCTTTTTTTTTTTTTGCGTTTCCTCTTCGTGAGAGAAGTCTGAGGCAGCCAGGGAGCAGGTCCCCATGGCCCCGGCAGGGAGAGGGCCGCACCCCGCTCCCGGGCCGTCCGGGGAGGGGCAGTTGGCAGTGGGGCGCCGAGCCGGGGCTCAGACGTAGTACTCCTTGTCTTTGTTCTTCTTGGCCTTGCTGGGCGTCTTGGGAGCAGCCGGGGCCTTCTCTTTCACCACCGCCCCGTTGCTCTGGGCCGAGTTACTGATGTAGTTCCGGCTCTGGTCCACCTGGTAGGAGCCCTCGTCACGGTTGCGGTACTTGTACATGGCGTAGAGAAGGATCAGGATGCAGAGCGCTGCGGCCGCCACGATGCCCACCACCATGCCGGTGGTGCTGCTGGACTCCCGGATCACCTCCACGGCGCCCGGCGGGCCCCGCTCCCCGGGCCCCGTGGGGTTGGCTGTGGGCAGACGGGGGAAGCCGGGGGCGGAGGTCACGCCGGGGCGCAGGGGAGGGGGCCTCCGCGGCTCGAAAGACGTGGGGGCCCCGGGCCCCAGGGGGGGGTTCTCCAGCAAGGGCTGCAGCGGGTCTCGGTGGTTCATTTTGCCCGCAGGCAGGTTGGGGGCCGGGGCGGAGGGGGCTAGCAGCACCCCGGGGGCACCCGTGGCCCCATCTGTCCTGAGGTTGGGCCGGGGAGCGGGTTTGCGGGGTGACAGGAGGGTGGTGCGGTCCGTGACCAGGGGGAAGGTGGTGTAAAAGTCCTCGTCGTCCGTCGGGGGGAGGCTGGAGTCAAAGACCTCCCCGGACGCAAAGCCGGAGGCCTCGATGGGCTCCTCGCAGTCGCTGTCGTCCTGCTCGGCCTGGCACGGGCCCCCGGCGGGCGGGCGGCGGGCCGCGGGTGGGGGCAGGGTGTCTTGGGTGGCGCCCACGCCCGTGAGGAAGGGATAGAAGGTGGGGGGTGGGGGCACGAAGGGGGATCGGGTGGCCACGGGAGGGGGGTCTAAGGAGTCCTCCGTGATAATGGGCAATATTAACTCTCCTCCTAGAACAAGAGAGAGAAGAGAAAAGACAGGGTGTCAGCGAGGGCCCAGGGTGCAGGCGGCCGGCACAGAGAGAGAAACAACAGCCTCACACACCCAAATCGGTTCCAATTGGCTTTGGCGGAGACTAGAGCGGGCCGGGCCCGCCCGCCAGCCTGCCGGAGCACTGCGCTTTAAGCGGGCAGCGGCTCAGATGCCCTGGGCACCCCACGCACGGGCTCTGTGGCTCACTGGGTTTTGGTCTTTTGTTTGTCTTAAGAAACCAAAAGGAACAGAAAGGAAACGAAATCGAAAAGAAACGGAAAAAAAAAAATTCTACTGGTTTAAGGCTTAAAAACAGATACAAGAGCAGCATTTAAACAAACCTAACAACAGTATCTTTTAGGGTTTTTTTTTTCTAGATTTTTCTCTTTTTTTGCTTTTGTTTTTTTTTCTTTTGTTTTTAAAAAAGAAGATAGCATACCACGGAATTCAGGCAACTTACATCAACAAATAGGCCGTGTGATTTTAGCATGAAGAAAAAAATTACAAACAGAGCTGTGTAAGCGGGTTCTCCCGGAAAAAATAAGAAAAAACAACTTTTCCGTACAACGTTTTCTATCTGTTTGGTATCTCCCTCCCTCACTCTTCTCTCCCTGGACATCTTGCTTCCTCCTGAATACTCTCTCTCCTCCCTCACTTGTGCCCTCTCCCCCTCATTAAACACAAAGCTAAAATCTGCACAGTGCAGGCTGGCATTGAGAAACTGTTACCACCACTTGGTGTCAGCGTGCGGGGGGAAGTGGGGAGCAGTGGGAGGAGGGCTGAGGGAAGAGGTACATGACCGGCAGCTGTGTAGGAATTGTTACATGGGTGAGAGGACTTGAGAGAGGATGATCATGGGAAGGAGCTTTGAAGGCTAATTGCAGGCTGGCCATGGGAAGACAAGAAGTTGAAGGTGGGAGGTGACAAGGTCCATGAGAAAGAGTGGGCAAGGAGGAGACAGAGACATTGGAGAAGGGTCCTGTCCCATAGGACTTTGGGTGAGTTGGTGACAAGCCATGTAGAGGCAGGGAGGTGGGGAAGGGATGGGAGTGAGGGAGGGAAGTGGACAGGGACATGAGTCCTGAGCTAACCCTAATTCCCCAACTTTCTCTTTCTTCACCCTCCACCTCTGACCCCCACTGGCTTCCCCCCTCCCCCTCCCCAGAACCCCCATGGGCCGCCAGGACCTGACCAGGGCTTGACAGCCTCTGGCCCTCTTATTATTGTTAAAACAATAATAAAACAACGGAAAGAAGAAGAAAGCAAAAAAAGAAAAGAAAATACATACACAGCCATCTGGGAAGGAAGCACTTGCTAATACAGGGCCCGGGGCGGGGGGGAAGCTAGTGGGGAAGGTTTGGTGGGGGGTGATTAGGTCTCTCTCCCTAGGTCTGATAACTGAGGTACCCTGGGCATAAACTGCAATTCCCATCAGCCCCAAAGGATGGGAACTACAACTCCCATTAGCCCTTGGAGGGGTGTGGACTACAATTCCCATCAGCCGCCCAGGACAACTACAACTCCCATCAGCCCACTATCCCGTCCCCAAATACTGCTACCCACCGGTGTGGGGTAGAGATAGCTGGAGTCTGGCCCTAGGGGGCTGCTGGGAGGGTTTCCTCCTCTTAGATGGGCACCTCTGGGTCTGACTGGGGCTGGAGATTTCCTCTCTAGCTCTCCCTCCACCCAAGCCCTGCCCCCATCTGAGTGCCTCTCCCTGGTCTCTGCAGGGTCTGGTTTTCATGACTCCACAATCCCCTACCCCCTCCATTGGAAGCATCCCAGGGCCCCACTGCAGCCAAGCCAACCATGTGCCGCTGCCACATCTTTGTGTCCCTTCTCCAGCTCCCTGCTCCCTAAGCCCTCCAGTCTCTGTGCTTACTGTTCAAACACTGCTGATCTTCACATCCCAAGCTCCAGCAACCTGGCAGAGCTGTCCTTGGTCACACTAGCCAGCCACAGCCAAGATCTTGCCATTGAACTTGTAGCCTTGCCGAGCTTCTCGGGCTGTTCCTCCCACCAGGCTCCACTCTCCCGCTGGGCCAGGGCTCACCTGCACCCCAGACTGTGAAGCCCCAGGGCACCTGGCCCTCCTGGGGCTCAGCCACACTGAGAGACTGAGCCAAAAGCAGACAAGCATGTTCTGTGGAGCTGGGACCCTCCAACGTTGGCCTTTTATGGAGGAGGATGCCGAGGCCTGGGGTGGGCAGGACTTCCCAAGCTCACTAGGGCCAAATCTCACAAGGAGCCTGGAAAGGCCTGATTCATCCTCCCCATGCCTGTGGTAATCTGCTTGACTCTTAGCTTGATTGTTAACCTGGGAGGCCACCCTGTGTGACTGCAGACAATCTTCTCTCATTCTCTGGACCTCAGCTTCCTCATCTATAAAATTGAGGTATTGGGCTCCAGGCCCAGGGTAAGGCCAAGGCCTGGCTCCCACGGACCTCCAGCCTATGGATGAATAATTTGTCCCTCTACCACCTCCTGAGCCCTGGACCCACTAGGGACGGCCCAGCACCCTGGTCCCTGGGTAAGGGCCACACTCAGCTCTCAGCTCTTGGGGAGAGGCTGGTGCCTGTGTCCAATCATGGCAGGGTTCCCCTCCCTGCTGGACCATACACCCCTGCCCTCTCCCTGACCTTTGCCTTCTGTTTAGAGCACCTTGCCCCTGAGGATATTTCACTCATCCTTCAAGTCCAGCCAAATACCTCCTCTTCCAGGACGGCTTGAGGCCCATCTGTCTGTCTCCCTAGCACCCAGCACTGGGCCTGGCATCTGGGATGGGGTGGGAGCCCCTCTCATGGGCCAGAGCAACTGGGTTCTCAGGCACTGCTGAGTTCAGCCTGACAGGCGCCTTGCTCCATGGCCCAGCGCTCACCCACAGCCATCTCTACCTTCGATCTTACATGGGGTCACCAGCTGCTCCCGGAAACTTCAGGATCAGGCTTGTCCTGGGCAGGCTTGTGGCCCTCAACCAGCTGCCCATAGCTAGGGCCCAGGGAGGAGTCCCTTGCTGGGGGGCATGTCACGCCCTAAAGGGGCTGATCAGGTCACAGTCAGGGCACAGACCTTGTCTCTCTACTCTCTTTCTCACCCCCAGATATACTGGGGAAAGGGGTGGGGGGGCTTCAGGCCTTGGGCCACAGGCAAATCCTGCCTAGCCTGAGCCCTCTGCAACCATTTATCCCAACTCACTGGTTCTTTAGGTCCTTGGGGCACACAGGCCCCCCCCGCCACCAAGTTCCCCCTGTGCAGTCTCCTCCAGGCTCCAGAGCCCTCCCGGGCCTGGTTACATTGACTCTTGCCCCTGCCCTTCAACCCCAACTGTGTCCTGGCCTCCATATCTGGGTCTCAGCCCTGTCTCCATGCCCCCAGCTTCTCTAGGAGCTTTTCCTGGGCGCTGCTCTGTCCACGGCTTTGACAGCATCTCCTGAGGGTGTCCTGCACTCACCCACATCCTCCACATGAGCCTCCATCTCTGCCCGCCCCCACAGCTCCCGCTCTCTCCAAAAGATAGCATGCTACAAAGACCCCACACTGTCTTCCTTCCCCCACACTCACTCAAGCCGATGTGGGCTCTGTGGCCAGTAAGTCATATGCAACATAGGGTACTGGGTTTTCCTGGGGTCATACACTGGCCCGGGAGGGGTCAGGCAAGCTTGTCCTGGTGAGGGTCTGGAGGAAGGGAGGACCCCTCAGAGACTCCGCACTGTGAAAGTCCAACCAGTGGCTCCCTGGGCTGCCCTTCTCACTGGGCCTTGGAGGGAGCAGACTCGCAAAGACTTGTGGTGCCTGGAACCCCGGGTTCAGCTCTACAAGGGTGCACCCAGGGATGGGGTGCCCCTGGGAGCCTGATAAAGAGCCAAGGCCGCTTCCCTCCCCTCCCCCATGTCAGGCAGCTACAGCGCTTGGAAGTACTCACAGGGGCATTTATCACAGACACCACCCCCCTCCACTCTTTTTAAGTTGAATGTCAGGGCACGTCAGTCCCACTTGCTAGAGAGAATTCCATCTGGCCAAGGAGACCAGTGGCCATTCCTGAGCACCCCTCCTCCCCCAGCTCCCCTACCTCTAGGGACTGCTGTACCAGCAAGCTGAGCTCTTTCTGCCTTTAGGGCACAGAGGCTCCTGACTGGAAGTCTACCCAAGAACCCCATTGCCACCCAAGCAGGGTATGCCCACCCCCAAAGGAGCACGGAGAACTGAGGCTGAGTGTCAGAGGCTCAGCAGTCAGCTGGCTGAGGCCCCACCCACCAGCGCTTGGGTACCTGCCCTGGCAAAGCCATTAGCCCACAGGGCATGTCGTGTGGGGTAGAAAAAAGGCAGCCCCTCTGTGGCCACGGCCCTTCAGGTGCATGACTTGGCAAACGGTCTCTCTGTACACAATCAAAAAAAGGTATTCTGTCTTCCTGGTGGACACAGCCCTGCTCCCAGGACCAGGACACGCAGCTTGGTGAGGAGAGAATACCGGCTAGATTTCAGCCCTTACTCACCTGTTCCAGCAGGGGACCACCTGTGCAACTGGGTGCGGTGGCCCGAAGGATGGAGTCCCACCCCACTCGGACACCCCAGCACAGCAACAGCAAACATCAAGGTGGACGCGAGGTCAGGCGTGCGTGCATGTGTGCGCGTGTGTGTGTGTGTGTGTGTGTGTGTGTGTGCGTGCGCCCAGAGTTTGTTTCTGTGCACCTGGGCACACGTCTCTAAGCCTCTGTGTGCGTATGTACACGAACCTCGATGGATCTGAGCGCATGGACGCAGGTGTCAGGGAATCTGCATGTAAGTGAGCCTCTCACCCGCCTCTGAGCCCGGGTCAGAACCCGTGTGTTTGTGTGTGAATTCATGCCTGTACCGCTGAGAACCTGTGAGCATGCCACCTGTGGCGTGAGGTAGGCCTCTGGGAGTGACCCTTTTCCCAAACTCATTTTCTCCCTCTCCTGGGCACCGAGACTACATTTCCCAGCATCCCTTGCAATTA